TCCTTATTTTCATATTCCACAATGACCAGAAGAAAAAAAAATCCAGCAGTAAAATCCATTTATTTCACTTTCCGATATATTAATGATAATTAACTTTTACTCAATCATCCTTTTTCTAGTAAGTGACTTTCAACTAATAACTAGAATTAATGAAAGATGCAAAGATTTCATTTCTCCTATTATCAACTCCCATTCTTAAATAGTAACACAGTATTAATATCTCGCGTTTACGTGTTTCAGTTGATACGATTCCCGAACTTGTTCTCATTGTGACAGATATATATTCTCGATTCCAGTAGCCGTCATTGATTGAATGATCATAACGGTATCTCATTTCTTAACTTAATAGTGACATTTTAATCCTGTCATAGATCTGACATGTCAGCTATAGTCAGCTATATGTCAGCTATAGTCCATCTGAAAGTAGTTGCCGGTTTTTGGTCACGTAACTGACTGTGATGCTTGTTACTGGACATCACTTTGAAAATATATGACGCATGATTAACAGGAGGTGCTTATCTTGACGACACATATAATTCCATTTGTTTTCACTCAAACTCCTATTTGTTTGAGCCTAAACGGTATACAATATCTGACCTTCGATATCTACTACCTTTATATTTAGACGTACTAAGTTCAACTAAACCTATATGGGATATTCAAAATGATGAAGTCTTAAGAGTAAGAGAGTTTAGGTGTTTCATTTAATTAAAGACGGACTTTTTGACAATTTTACTACGTTTTCTGTCATGCCATGAGCTCTAAATGGGGCAGTTGACTTATTAACGATTGTACCACGGGTTTTTTCCACGCATGTGCTCTAAATCGGGCAGTTGACTAGTCTACAATTGTACCACGATCTCTTTTATGCCATGTGCTTTGAATTGGGCAGCTAACTTATTGAAATTTGTAATTTGTTTTCTTGCATGCCATGAAGTTTCAATGTGACCTGATTATCAAACAAATTTACAATATTTCATTCATGCCATGTGATCTGAGTGGGTAGCTGTCAAATGAACTATTACAAAATGTCATCATGTGGGTTGCAATTTGTCTAATCAACAATTATTTCATCTTGTGTTCAAAACTTCCAAGCCATTTATTATTGTAATCCTGATTAGTCTACTTTTTAAAAAAAAAATTCAAGTCAAGACTTTAGATGTAAATCCGATTTCGATCATTCAAGGTTAACAAACTTATTTCTTGTATACTTAATAATCTGTTACCAGGAAGATTCCACCACAATCCCATAAGACAGCCCAGTCATCATTTATCTCAATGGCGCTGGGATTAATAGATAACGACTGGTTATTTAGAAGGATTATATAAAACTTCAATAATCTGAATGGGATAAAAAATCACATTATAAATTTATAAAGTCCATTACAGAGTATTTAATCTGTCAACAGTGACAGAAAACCACATTTTCTTGCTATTTACAAATTGTTTTGTTTTTATTATCAGGCGAAGTTAGAATTTGATGCTATACTCAAACTAGTGTTAAAAGTCTTTAAAGTTCACACTACACGTACTTCTTTAACGGGGATGTGCTCCTGACACAAAATTTGCTCAACCAGACTTATTTAGTATTAGGGAAAACGAGTGAAATCAATACTACATAAGTTTTACGGTGACCATCACGGATTGGTTAACTGATACCGTGTGTCTTTGTCTTGAACTCACTAGTAACATGTTTTCGTGGTCTTGGATCTTCTGACAACAGAATAGCCGTCTAATCTGTAAAATTGCCGATTGTGTTCTATTCCCGATTGTGACATTTTGACTGAGTGTAAAATTCACATCGCAAATGAAGCAACAAAGCAGGAGACGCTTACTCTGCCGACGTACAGTTTTGGTTTTTTTGTTTATCCGCATCTGCTACTGAATCTCCGTATAATTTTTTTAAAACTTTCATAGAATCTTGCTTACAATATGTACTGTTCGCCTCTTATTTCATTTCTACATCTGGACGATCTTTGGGGTTCACTTTGGGATTACATTGAATTTCCATATCTGTACACAATAGTGCACCTTTGTATTCGCTTCTCCACCTAAACCCCTATTCGAAATTTAATTAAATCTCAACCATATTTATCAATTATGGACTTTTGGCGAGGTCAATACATTATATAAAACCTGTTCAGATTATATTGACCGAGGACGAAGTCCGAGGTTCAATATAATCTAACAGGTAAATATGTAACCTTAATTTATATACTACATATGTAAATAGTTTAAGTTTGCAAATGATATTGACTCGATGTTACTATTTCTGGAAATGATATTGACTCGATGTTACTATTTTTAGTAACACGGAGTCAGTATGTCAAAATAGTGAAAAAATACAAAATATACATTGGAAAACACGTAACCAAAAAAAACAATGAGAAACAAGAAAAATCAAACCATATGTAATATATGCCATTTTCCACTCTTATTTAAGTGATATTTTTTGGTCCGAATTATTTTGTAGGTTTTCTTTAGCGAATCACGGACTAAGCAAGGTGCGGGTTATCATTGTGTGTCATAGCAGTCAGAAGGGTTTAAGAACATCCGTTGTTCGACCTGCTAGTCATATGCGTTTTGTAAAATACACTTCTTCACTTTTTTTGGTCTTTTGGAAAATGTTGTTTGTGCTGTTTTTAGACCCCTCTACCAAGAAATTTGTTTTGCATGCACACGTATAAAAATTGCGGTTTTTATCCAACGCAATCATAGGTTTAACGTTGTTTTCAATTTAGACTTGTTTACTAGTATATTTTTTCGTTTGGGCTTGTATTATGTTTGCCTTCGGGTTGATATGATCCGTTCATCCTATTTCGACTCTTCAAAATTCAAGAGTCAATCCCAAATTGAGGTAAATTATATTGCCTTCCAAATACCGTTTCGATTCCTAACATCACTGAAGAGACATTAATTGTCGAAATCCGGATATGGTGTACAAATTTTTGCACCTCATGTTTGCGGTATACCATCTTTTCCGCAAGTTTTTTATTTTCTATTTGGTATTAGATTAAAATTTAGATCCATTTTGTTACATCTGTGATCCGTTTATTTGGCAATCGCCATGGCAGTCAGCAGGGTTTAAGAACATCCGTTGTTCGACCTGCTAGTCATATGCGTTTTGTTAAAATACACTTTTCACTTTTTGGTCTTTTGGAAAATGTTGTTTGTGCTGTATTTAGACCCCTCTACTAAGAAATTTGTTTTGCATGCACACGTATAAAAATTGCGGTTTTTATCCAACGCAATCATAGGTTTGAACGTTGTTTTCAATTTAGACTTGTTTACTATATATATATCTAAAATGACTGAATAATAGCCAACGATAAATCTTACGGGGCGATGGATCATATAAATATGATACAGTACACTACAAAATTTAATATATAACAAGATTGCTATAGTTTAATAATCAGAATAGATTGATCTGATTCATTTTACATCGTGCTCATACTGATGAAGGATATCTGTTATCCGAAATATTTATAGTTACATTTGTTCGTTTATTGTCGTTTTTAGGTGATGTTGTACCCTTTTAGACTGGTTATATATATATATATATATATATATATATAAATAATAATAAGTACATCTGAACCAGTGACAACTCTACGACAGATTTTATCCATCGGATCACCAGTGATGGTGATACAAGGCTGAAAACACATTCTCTATACATAATTCGTCTAAATAACAGCCCAACAATGTTAGATTTGTAAATTTGCGTAAGCAAATTTTTTGTTTTTCCCTAGCCGGGATTCGAACTTATACTACTGAGATATCGTGGCACCAATATATATATATGTATATACAACGCAAACAAAAAGACTTTTATGAAAGCATTCATATGCATACGTCTTTTTTTTATATTAAAAACAATTAAAGTACAGATATTAAAATCTGGAATATTGTTAATGCATATTCTTATAAAATGTTTTCTAAATTAAATAAATTACTTCAAGACCGAAATTTGGAGAGAGAGAAAATATCGCAATTTGGAATCTGCAATTGCTAAAAATGTGATCTCGTTGTGGACTTTCGATTGTTGCTGGCCATTATATATTTCAAAGGATGGTAATTCATTCATCTTTAGATTACGAAAATTTGGATTCAACGTAAAAGTTATCAACAAAAATCTCATAGGAATATTTTATAGGCTAGGTAAAGGGGAGGGTTGAGATCTCACAAAACATGTATAACCCCGCCGCATTTTTTGCGCTTGTCCAAAGTGAGGAGTCTCTAGCCTTTGTTAATCTTGTATGTTTTTTTTTAAATTTTGGTTCATTTGTATGTTTCGGAGTTCTGGATCTTATCATCACCTTTATATAATTATACTGTGGTCGTTCGCTATTACAAATCTGTTATTCTCCACATCGGAGTCCTAGTTTCTCCAACAGTCTTAGTACTTTTGTGAATATCAATGTTTAATTACTGATTGTCATTATAAAATCCCAACAGAGACCTTTAACCGGTCATTAGGTAATATAATTGAATTATTTCTTCATACAATATCTGACAGTTCCAACAAACTGGGATATTCCTGCGGTAATGGATTTTAAGAATAAGTAAATAATGTTAATTGGGACATGAATATTGTTCCATTTCGATTTGAGATAATTAGTCAAAGGAGATTTAATTTTGAGAATCTGTAAAATTTATGTGTTGTTATTTCCCTAATGTAAAGAACAGATCGATGCATTACACGTACATTAAATAGAACAAAATGTCAAAGTTAATCATATTAACATGGTTTTGGTGACCGACAACGGTCTAAGTTACTGTGTATGGAGTTGAATGTTATTTGGTCTATAACCTCAACAATAAACCTTTTACTGATTCCACCCCATTAAGATGTTAGCCAAATATTGGTGGAAAATATGATACTTTTTCCATTCATGTTAACACTTAAGATAAACATGGATTTATAGTATAACGCATATTGATTAAACTGATTGTTCCGTGAACAAATAATTCATAAGAACTTTCTATTGCAGGTCATCATTTCCATTCGTATTTTTATATCGGGTGTAATCATCTGAAACCATGGAATAAAACTACGTGGTTGAAGGCTTAGTCAATTTGATAATTATAAATCAACCTCGAATCTTGTTCATTAGTGATGATTATAATGGAAAGAAATGTACTTCGATAGAACGATGGAATCATTTAGCTTGCCGAAATTCTGCAATAGAAGCTGTTCGAATGAAACTGTATCAGAGAGTGATGACCATCAAGGAGCTACCATAATATCTCCCATATTGATGTCTTTAGCGGGCTTGTTGGGAAATATTCTTGCTTTATATGTGTTGCATAAAAACAAAAGTCAAAGTGTATTTTATACGTTAGTTGCTGGTCTTGCTTGGACGGATTTGACTGGAATTATTTTTACATCACCCGTACCGGTAGTAGAGTATGTAAATAATAGGCAATGGGTCGGGGGAGAAATGTTGTGTAAATTCAACGGCTTTTGTATGGTTTGCTTCGGAATTTCAACACCTTTAATTGTATGTGCAATGGCGATAGAAAGATTGTTTGCAGTTAGATTTCCATTCTTTCATAACCAATACTGTCGTAAAAAGTTTGGAAGAATTGTTTTGATCACAATATGGATCGCTGTATTTGTCATTGGAATATTTCCCTTGCTGGGTTTTGGACGTTATGTTATTCAATATCCATGTACTTGGTGTTTTTTAGATTTCCATAGTCACGATCCAGTGAGTTCTGCATATGGATATTTATATTCTTCCGTTAATTTAACCGTAATTATTGTGATGTCAACATGTAATATATACGTCATGTTTATATTGTTACGTGTTAGATATTTAAAGAAAGTGACACTCAAAGAGCAAGGCAATCTAGAACCAATTTTTCATGAAAATGCAAAAGCCAGAAAGAAATTTCGAAAACAAAAAGATATAGAAAAACAAATGATTGTTCTGATGTGCGTAATAACAACAGTATTTGCTATTTGTTGGGCGCCGCTAATGGTGAGTAGATAGCCATATGTCTGACTGCAAAAAATATATTTGTGCATCACTAGAAACAAACACAAATTATTTACATGAAATGTTACATATATGCTGAAAGTGATATGTTAAAGGATTAAACCCAATTTTAGGCCGCCAACACTGCCTTATGTTAGCCGTGACTCTAATTTTAAGATAACAGAATGTAAGGCATATAATAACACCATAGATGTGAAACTTACTTGCAGACAGTATAAAACACCATTTAAATCACCTTAAAAACTTTTCACGTCATATTTATCCTTACATGAATTTTGATAAACAAAACATGTTCATATCTGTTATTAACTTTCTCTATCAACGTATATTCTCAGCGGTTAAGAAGATATGGAGACGGACACTATGTCTTCTTCAGACAATTTAACATGACATGACAAAATTACTCCTTACAGCTTCCAACCCCAACGTAGACAGCAAGGCCAGCTTGCTACAGTGCAACAAATTGTATGCATCACAGCACCAGTGATGCTTTGATTTCTAGAGATTATTGGTGTGTAAACTAGGCAGATGTACACATAAATGACTTTTTATGTAAAGTTAGTGAACCAGGTTACATTTAAAAACCACCAGAAATATGCGCTTAATGCTTTTACTTCTTGAGCCAAATATTTGTTTGGGTTTTTTTTCTCTTTAAATTTCACCTTTTCTGGAACCCTTAGATTCCATTCATATGTATCATGAATGAATATATGACATAAAACCCGACGAAACAGTGTTAGATAGGTAAGGAAAGAAGTTCAGGCAACATGGTCTATCGAAGTGTAAACCCAAGAAAGAAATTCTAACTGACGGACCAATCACATTCAAGTTTTGGTAGTTGTGCAAATCAAATAAGAACTATAAGTAAATCATCTGAAAATAAGAACTATAAGTAAATCATCTGAAAGGAAAACTACGTATATTGAACATATACACAACTTATAAATAGTAAATCTATTTAAACAATTCTTTTTTTTCCGTCTCTGTGTATAATTTTCTTTTTTCTTATTCATTGGGGAGGCTTCAGCTCCCCCTTTTTTATCGGATAAAACATTTACTTTTTCGCATGAAATCGTCAACCATTCTTCTACCATTATGACCATTCCCCTCGCCATATGGATCCGTTCATGATATTCTTTGCTCTACCGGAATTTCATCATCAACATTTAATTTAATGAGTTCTCACCAGAGACACACATTTGTACACAGCATAAGCTGGTAAATGAATATGTTATGTTCGCTTGGTGTATGTTCTGATTCCGATTTACTCCTACTCTAATATAAAGTAATTGGTTTTAACAGCATTACCGAACCCACATAGACTATTCATTTTCTATAGATTATCATAATATATTATATACATGGCTTCAATAAATGATGCAGTGTAAACATTTCAAATAAGATCGCTCTTCAAATATTAACAGTCTCGGTAATAAATAATGTTATGATATAGAATCGTCTGTTTATGGCTATTACTCCATATAATTTAACATGTTTAATGTTGGAATCCTTGATGTCCAGAATGAATATCCGATTATACCTACATTCGTGACAATAGTATATTCCATTTGGAAAACGATGTACTATATTTTTTCAAAATAATTAATATCTCAATGACTTCACATATTTGTTGTTGTTTTTTTTTGTATTTATAACTGAAGTGCGCAGATTGTGCGACTGTTGACATTTACTGTGTCAAATCGTCATCGACATCCCGGTTGAGCTATTTAGACTATATCTACCAAATTGATTGTTTATTTTGTTCTTATTCTACATTTGTATGAAATATTTACCACTGACCATTAATGAAAAAAACTGTAACTAAAGCAACACATTCGTGTTGTGTATTCTTACTTCAACCATTACAAAAGCACATATAAATGTAGCTCCGAAATTTTGAATTCTGCATGTATACGAATAAAATGGCCATAACCCACATATTGCACAAGAAAAACCGTATACGATTTCCGTCTTCAAAATATTGAATTTGAAAAAGATGAATCATATAATGTTTTGAAATAGATTTTTTTCGTTTATTACAAATGTCGTGCATACAATTATATAAAAGACATATACAGGTAACGAATACAAAAATAAAGAGATGTGGTAAAATTGCTAATGAGGCAACTTATTGTCCTTCAAAGACCAAAAGGCAAAGATGTGACAATTACATGTCATAGTACGGACTTCATCCGTGAGCAGGGCTAATACCGTATAATAGGCTATTAAAGGCTCGGATGTGACAAAATGTCAAACAATTCAAACGGGAAACCAAATGCTACAACATAAACCCCCCAAAAAAATTACAGCAACCATCGATTAAAGGCTTCTGAATTGGGACATGCATATGTGGCTGGGTCCTATAACATTGTGAACGATTAACCCTCCCGATCGCCATGGACCAGTGGTGAAACAAATTAAGTTTTCGTCTATGAAAGTTTTCTTATTGGTCGTCATACAACATATCTTTATTTCTATACAAATATACGAACAAACTGTAAAAAATTATCAGATCGGTACTAATAACCATATACATAGATAAAATTGGCCAGTATTTGCAGCATAGGGATTTTTACGAGCAAGAGCAAAGACTAGTCGGATCAAAGTCAGACTTAAGCACTTTACAAATTCGGTTAAACGTACCTACATGTATAGTACAAAGACGGATTCATATTCATGTCATATAAGCTTGTTACTGGACATTAGACAACCATCCATACATTCAATTTACAAAATGTTATCAGTTGCGTGATAGGTTCAGAATGCAGTTAAAAGTTATCAGTATTTATTTTTAATTCTAATGAAAGCTTTGACTTTTGACAGCTCATCAATTATGGTAATTTGTGGTTTTATATCTCAATAAAAATTATTCATTCATTTCAGCAATTCATTTAGAAACACAAATCGGTTAGCAAATGTTGATTACAGTCATGAGTCCATAAATCATTATGTTCATCAATATTATATTGTAAATGTCATTTTGTTTAGTGGGGTGAAGATATACAGCTTCTGGTGCATGCCTAAATTAATTGTCTAGTCTAGTTATTCATTTTAAGTTTCGTAATGAAGCAAACAAAAACTGTTTATATTTCAAAAATACATTTAGTTATAAATGATGCAATATGCAAAATTTAAAACAACTAGTATCTCAATTGTTTGTAAAACAATTGAAAGGTCTTTCCTGTAAAAGTGATGTTTTTGTAATGTACTCTTTAAGACCTTTCATTTGATATACGACAAGCATACCTTCTGAAAATTTTCACTTTTTACACTTAATGACCCCATCTGACTACATTTTTGATATCGGAAGTATGATATATGTAATGTAGACTTGATGATCTTTCATTTGATATGCGACAACGCCATGTTTTAGAAAGTTTGATTTTTGCACTTAATAACCCCATACACCTCATTTTTGGAGGACAGGAATTTGATATTTGAAATGTACACATTATGACCTTTCATTTGATATACAACAACCTTACCTTAGAAGACAATTTATTTTCTGCACTCAATGACCCCACCCAACCCATTTTTTGGGGACGTCAATTTGATATTTGAAATGTACGCTTTATGGACTTTCATTTGATATGCGACAACCTAACCATCTGAGAAGTTTGAATTTTTTGCACTAAATGACCCCACCCTTCCCACTGGAATGAAAAAGGGGTTTAGAATTTTCATTTTGGAGTAGAGCTCATTAAGACCTTCAATTTGATATATCAAATGACCACATTTGGCAAAGTGCCAAAAATGATGCAATATCAATTGTATAAATAGAACTTATGAAACTTACAAAGTCAATGCAAAACATGAAAATTTCAAATTGATTTTTTGGGTTTTTTTTTCATTGATTGTTTTTGTTTTTTTGGTCAAACATATAACCATGTTAAACTCTTCAATTTCTGATAATTTCAGGTGGTTACCTGTTGTTGACTCAGAAATACATGCCGCCGCTCGCAAAATTTCAAAGTGCATTATCTCTAAAACGACAACAGTGATCTCAAATCTGTTAAAAGTAAAATGATTTACAGTAAAAGAACAACATTACAGAAAAAAAATTTGGACAATTCTGATGTTCATCAAGGTCACAATGAATCATCAAATATATAATGCAATACCAAACTTGAGAACCGGAAGTCGTAGAGACATGGGACTACCACCATTCAACTCAGGAGCACTTGACCTTTCAAATATCACAAGGTCAAGGTCATATTACACTTTGAAGGTCAAGGTTAAATTTCATCATGACCTGACATTGACCTCAATTGAAGGTCTGAAAATACTGATCATTTTTCCAATTTATAGTAGGTTGATATCTGTTACCTTTAAAAAGATATACACACAATACTATACTTTTAGGAATCATCTCATCGTAACTTTTGAACAGACGGTCGGACAGTTTTGAGCTTAATGTATAAAATGTAGAGCTCGCCGAGAGGAACATTTTATACACAGTATGTATGCAGCAAACTCTTATCGTTTTCTTAATATGCAAGCTTGAAATTGCAGCGTAAATTTTTTTTGCACTCGGTGACCTTTGACATTGGGTGCAAATTGAAGGTCACATGAACTTAAGAGTATTGGTGAAGGTCCCAAGTCTCTACGACTTCCGGTTCTCGAAATACAATTTTTAAAAAATTGTGTATATTTTTTCAAGAGAAATAACTCCTTATAAGGGTCAATAACAAAATTATTTTATATGTTCATTAACATTGCCATCTGTTCTTGTACATGTTGCCGTTTTCAAACCGATTCTATCCCTAATACTTTTTGAGAAAAATGCAAAACAAAGAAATTTCTTCAAGGGGATATAACTCGCATAGAAGATGATGAAATCCTATGCAGCCTCATATGGTAGTACATCATGATGAGATCTACCTATTGTCCAAATAAGGTCATGATATCTTTACAAACAACCAGTGGGGGCCATGTCGAAAAAATCCAATAATAGGGAGATAACTTTTACAAGGGATGATGAAATCCTTAACAGGGTCATCTGGTAATACTTCATGATGAGGTCTATCGATGGCCCATATTTGGTCTTGATAACTTCAACAGAAACGGGGGGAGGGCATTCCCAAAAAAATGTTGGAAGAAAAAAAAGAAAAAAAAAAAAAAGAAAAAGAAAAAGAAAACTAGTATCTCAATTGTTTGTAAAACAATTGAAAGGTCTTTCCTGCAAAAGTGATGTTTTTGTAATGTACTCTTTAAGAGCTTTCATTTGATATACGACAAGCATACTTTCTGAAAATTTTCACTTTTTACACTTAATGACCCCATCCGCCTACATTTTTGATATCGGAAGTATGATATATGTAATCTAGACTTGATTATCTTTCATTTGATATGCGACAACGCCGTGTTCTAGAAAGTTTGATTTTTGCACTTAATAACCCCATCCAACTAATGTTTTGAGGACGGGAATCTGATATTTGAAATGTACACGGTAAGACCTTTCATTTGATATACAACAACCTTATCTTAAAAGAAAATTTTTTTGCACTCAATGACCCCAACCAACCCATTTTTTGGGGACGTCAATTTGATATTTGAAATGTACGCTTTATGGACTTTCATTTGATATGCGACAACCTAACCATCTGAGAAGTTTTAATTTTTTGCACTAAATGACCCCACCCTTCCCCCTGGGATGAAAAGGGGGTTTTACATTTTCATTTTTGAGTAGAGCTCGTTAAGACCTTCAATTTGATATATCAAATGACCCCATTTGGCAAAGTGCCATATCAATTATATAAAGAGAACTTATGAAACTTACAAAGTCAATGCAAAACATGAAAATTTCAAATTGATTTTTTGGTTTTTTTTTTCATTGAATGTTTTTGGTATTTTGTCAAACATATAACCATGTTAAACTCTTCAATTTCTTATAATTTCAGGTGGTTACCTGTTGTTGATTCAGAAATACATGCCTCCGCTCGCAAAATTTCAAAGTGCATTATCTCTTAAACGACAACAGGTATCTCAAATTTGTTAAAAGAAAAATGATCTACAGTAAAAGGACAACATTTTAGAAAAAAATTGGACATTTCCAAAGTTCATCAAGGTCACAATGAATTATCAAATATATGATGCAATATCAAACTTGAGAACCGTAAGTCGTAGAGACATGGGACTACCACCATTCAACTCAAGACCACTTGACCTTTCAAATGTCACAAGGTCAAGGTCATAGTACACTCTGAAGGTCAAGGTTAAATTTCATCATGACCTGACATTGACCTCAAATTGAAGGCCTTGAACTACTGATCATCTTTGCAGTTTATAGTAGGTTGATATCTGTTACCTTTTAAAAGATATACATATGTTACTATAGTTTTAAGAATTATGTTAATGTAACTTTTGAACAGACAGTCGGACATTTTTGAGCTTAATGTATAAATTGTAGAGCTCGTCGAGAGGAACATTTTATACACAGTATGTATGCAGCAAACTCTTATGGTTTTCTTAATATGCAAGCTTGAAATTGCAGCGTAAAGTTTTTTTGCACTCTGTGACCTTTGACCTTGGGTGCAAATTGAACGTCACATGAACTTAAGATTATTGGTGTAGGTCCCAAGTCTCTACGACTTAGGGTTCTCGAAATACAATTTTTCAAAAATTGTGTATATTTTTTTAAGAGAAATAACTCCTTATAAGGGTCAATAACAAAATTATTTTATATGTTCATTAACATTGCCATCAGTTCCTGTATATGTTGCCGTTTTCAAATCGATTCTATCTCTAATACTTTTTGAGAAAAATGCAAAGGAAAGAAATCGCTTCAAGGGGATATAACTCGCATAGGGGATGATGAAATCCTATGCAGTCACATATGGTAGTACATCATGATGAGATCAACCTATTGTCAAAATAAGGTCATGATATCTTCAAAAACAACGAAGGGGGTCCATGTTGAAAAAATCCAATAAAAGGGGGATAACTTCTACAGGGGATGATGAAATCCTTAACAGGGTCATGTGGTAATACTTCATGATAATGTCTATCGATGGTCCATATTTGGTCTTGATAACTTGAACAGAAACGGGGGGAGGGCATTCCCAAAAAAAAAAAAAGAAAAAAAAAAAAAAAAAAAAAAAGAAAAAGAAAAAAAAAAAAAAAAGAAAAAAAAAAACATTAGAAAAACAATAAGGTCTTTCCTAACGGAGTGGAAAGACCTTAAAAAAAACATTAGAAAAACAATAAGGTCTTTCCTAACGGAGTGGAAAGACCTTAAAAATACACGCATAGGTTTCAGTAGCGTTTAGTGAAAAAAAATTCTAGGTATACTATGAATTTCTTTCTCAGTTGTAACTCTGATTTATTACACAAGAACACTTTTACTATCTTACGTGTCCAAAACTTAATATGACGCTAAGATTTACCCAAGAAACATACCACAGATTCTGAACATAACAACAAGTAATAGCTTTTCTAAAAAGCTGGCCGTCTCATAGCTGATGAAAGTGGAAAATGTTTTCGCTTTGTAGTTTAATTCATTCAGAATAGCCTTGCATATAAATTGTAGTGGATTACAAAAATTATAAAAGGCTGATACATTTTTTTTTTAGATTTACTAATTTCTTTTTTGGGGGAGGGGTATTGTCTTAATCATCTGCGTTTGTACCTTTTTCTCGATATTTTTTTTTAAACAGATATGTTTTTCGTTTACTTTTTTTCTTTTTTTTGTATTTCTTTGTGTTAGAAAAGTATGGCTGCTTCCACCTGAATTTTTTTCATTCATAATAGGCATCGAAAAGTGTAGAGAGTGAAACGTGATAAATTGAGACATATAAGAACACAAATAATATATTTCCAACGGTTTCTCACATATTTTCAAAATGGTCCTTAAAATGTAAAGCTTAATTTTTGAATTCATTTTTTTCTTAGATTATAAATATTCATACATATTAAGATAATCCAAAGGCAACAACAAAATTGAAAAACGGAGATATCCAACCAGTTATTTTCGATTAATATTGATTTACATGTTTCATGGGGAGATATGCATGATTGGTATCCAGGCAAAATCTAATTACTAAAATAAAGAGTTCAAATCTGACACTCTACGGGATTAAAACTATTTATCTCCCCATGAAATAGCGTAACAATGATAGCTATATGTAGGCATACTTATTGTAAAAAAATATGAAAGCTAGGGTATGTTCTTTTGTTATTCAAAACATATGAAAAGGGCGGGGGTATGGATGTCTCAGCTGCTCATCCCTACCATAAAAAGGTCGAAGTGCCCCCTCACCCCCTCCCTCCTGTGATAAAGATTCCCGTGTAAATTAGTTTTAATCGAAAATAACTATTTGGATATCTATCTTACCAAGTAAAAATATTTATAACCTAAGAAAAAAGCAAGTGCGGTGTTTTCCTATGTTTTCATGTATAACAATTACGTAACAGTGAAATAAGCACGTGTATGTTTACAAAATTTCAGGAATTCCGGCTATTCATGGATAAGTGTTACCGCATGATTGGTAACCAGGCAAAATCTTATTACTAAAATAAAGAGTTCAAATCCGACACTCTATGGGATTAAACGACATTTACTAGGTTTCGAAGTGTCCCAACCAATCAACGAACTAAACTATTATAGAGTCAGATAATATCTCCCAATCAAGTAGTAAGAAAGCATCCAGCCCGCAGACTGTGCATCGTTCAACTCTTAATACCGTCTCCTCGGAGACGGTAATAATAAGATAAGATGTGTTATGCAATCAAATGAGGCAACTATCCACCAGACTAAATGACGTATAGCCTTAGCAACTATACATCACCGTGCGGCCTTTAACAATAAGATAAACTAAAATAGTACATGAAGTCCCCGGGCATGAATACATGTAAAATTCAAACAAGAAAACCTACAGTCTGATTTATGTACAAAATAATAAACCTATCAGATTGACATAAAGCACAAAAACAACTCACAAAACAAATAAAGACACAAAGTACCGATCTAAGGGTACTCGCAGTTACTGAAAGCTACTGAAAGCCAAATACAACTTATAAATAAATCATGTTTCCCAGAATAAGATAACGTAATGTATTATCGTATTTTCTATTATTTTGCAGGTTCAGATAATAATCACAATGGTCACAGGAAAATCCAATTTTTTGATAGATCTGACAACGGTGAGACTAGCGAGTCTAAATCAAACTTTAGACCCATGGTTATATATTCTACTAAGGAAATCTTTCATTAGGAAACTGTGTAGCTACATTAGAAGGTGTTGCTCGATCACGTCTCCAAGGGGAAGTAATCATGATGATGATAAAAATAACCACGCGAATCATTTGCGATGTTTTAGAAAACAATGTCATGTTGCTAATCCACAATATCAATATCATGTCCAAATCCACATTCCACAAGCAGCGCAATGTGTGGTCCACTATAAGCGGAGCTCAACGAAATCTAAATCAGATGACAGTAAGAAACAACAGCAATTATCTTTTGACCTACCTGACATTGCTCAAGGTCAATCTCTGAAAGAGGCTCAGCCAGATGTGACAGATGTCAAATCGACAGATCCATGTAAACAGTGTGGGACCATTCATAGTAACTCAAAATCATCTTCCGGTAACAAAGGTGGTTATCTCAGTGTAGCTTTTATACCACACTCTTGTCATTCTAAAGAAACTGCTGAAGAATGTAAACCATTCGATGAATGTACCTCAGCAGTCGAAATGACAAAATCACATGATTCTCTTTCCGATGACAATCATTTAGAATCAGACGTATTCATCACTAAGTCTACAGAATTATCAGCAGATTTATTATCACCACAACAAAATGCTAGGCAAAAGTTGCTTTCAGACTTAACACCAAGACCGAGTACCAACAGATTTTCTCTGTAAGTAACTTGACAATGTTTGTGCCAAACTTCAAAATTTCTTATAAATCAGGTTGGATATTATTTAAAACCAAATTAATGTTTCATGCTGTTCATTTTTACAGTTTCAGTTGGTCGTGACCGCTTCTGGTGGATTATAAGCTCCAGAGTGTATCAGCCGACCACTGGCTTAATTTCAATACCTTTTGTTTGTAATTTTCAAGTATCATATAATTAATTTATTTTGTTCGCAATCAAAGTTGACCTCTGACGGTTTCAGCTGTTCTATCTAGACCTTTAGGTTTTTATGTTTTACGTGATGACTGTTATCGAAGAACATGCAATGTGTGCACGAAAGCACATCGTTCGTGTTTTGGTTTTTTTATTATATTTTGTATAATCTTTATAGATTAAGCTCAACTATTTAAAATGACAGGTACTTATTGGAGAACTTTACCCTTTATTTACAAAAAAAAAAAAACGAAATTGTAATATAATTGCTAAATTTTGTCATCAGTACCATAATGTCAAGTTTAGTGGCATAGTGACGTTACAGGCATGTAACAATTAGAAAATACCCATTTTAGTCCTGGAAAAAGAAACAGTATATATATGTATTAGTTGTAATTGGACTCGAACTAGCTTTCAGTAACTGTGAATACTCTAAGATCGATACTTTTGTCTGTTTTTTTTTTTTGTAACTAGTTTGTATGTTTTGTGTAATTCTGATGAGTCAAGACTTTTTCAATTGATTTTTACGGTTTGTTGTGCTGTTACACTATTGTCTCATGTTAGGGGAGGGTTGGGCGCTCGCAAACATGTGTAATCACGCCACATTCTATATGTGCCTGTCCTAGGTCAGGAGCCTGTAATTCAGAGGATGTCATTATACGTTACCACTTTTAGTGCACCAGGTGTAATGCATTTTGACAATACAAGTATATACAGTGATGATCGAGGCCAAAAAGTCGTAAACCATATACAATCGTTGAAGAGCTGGTTAAACCAAGAAGGACCAAAAGTAAAGCCAAACATGGCAAGGAATCAGAGCTATGCAAGAGGGAGATACACTCCTTAATTCAAAATGATTTTGAAATTTTATGACAGCAAATTTAAATAAACAATATCAGTATTTTTTCCCAATGTCGAAGTATTAGCAACTTGACTGGTGATAACCTCGGGCTACGCACGAAATAACCGCAGTCCACCAGCAGAGGTATCGACCCAGTGGTTAGTAATAACATTAACGTTACCAATTTTACTACACCAGATGTGCTTTTCGACAATTATTGTCTCTCTCCAGGTCAAAACATTCGAGTCTAAAACTTGATACAAACCAAAAGGCATAATGGTTGCTGTCTTATCATATTTGTTGTTGTTTTATGACCCCGTCGACTTTGGTCGGGGCCATATAGTTTACCCTTACCGTCATTCCGTCATTCCGCAACGAACAGTTAAAGGGACTTCTTTTCTTAATCCCTTCACCTATTGAGCTGATTGTTAGTTATTTTGATGAGTTACAGTTCGAGTTTACGTTTGGTTCCGACCTGCTGATTTTTGTCGAAATTACAGGCTTTGAACTTTGAAAATTTCGTGAAAATAACAGTTCTACGGACTTTTTTCTAAACGCCTTCACATATTGAGCTGATTTTAGTATGTGAGTCTACTATGATGACTTACAGATCGAATTAACGTTTGGTTCTCCTCCGCTGATCTATGTGAGTCTACTATGATGAGTTACAGATCAAGTTGACGTTTGGTTACGCTCCGTTGATTTTTGCCGAAATCACGGGCTTAGGGCTTCGAAAATGTCCACTCCTAAAAAACGGCTTCAAGCTTTTTTTGCGAGCGGGGCCATTCGTGTCGTTCCAACACATATAATTTTCGTTCTTTTTTCGATTTTGTACATAAGTCAGACCGTTGGTACCTCGTATGAATTCTTTTACATTATTTCATGTTAAGGTCTTTTACATAACTATACGGTATCATGGGTTTTTGTTATTGGCGAAGGCCATACGGAAATCTATAGTTGTTTGCATCTTCGTTAGTTGGTCGCTGGTGAATAGTTGTCTCATTGACAATCATACCACATCTTTTTTTATATTGGTTTTTATTATGCATACATTGAGATTAAAATAACAATTATGAACACATAAACTTACAAAAAAGTCATATTTTAATCAAAGTATCTTTCAATTAAGCATCCTGTATCGTGCTCGTTGAAGCCGTGATGCCAATGTACCTACATTGTAACTGTTAATAAGAAGATGTCAAAACGAGATTTTTGAAGTTTTTAAATTTGGTCTTATTAAAGATCAGATATGTTTTTTGCTAGTGCAAAAATGTTCAAAGAAATTTTCAACACACCATTATTGTTATTGGATTGGCCAATAACTATTGATAATCTGTTCGTTATCAACTAATTGATACTTGATGAATTCGAATGGTAAAAACTTCACCGTAATGAATATGTGTAAACATTTCCATATATTTTATAGCCTCTCTTACATAATAATTGCATATGTGTTGTCTTTGTTAAGTGATATACATTTTTTTTTTAACTTTTCAGACGCAAGAAAAGGGCCAAGTCCTACACGTAGAAAAGGAAAGATGTGACGTGCTTTACTTGTTGTTATTTTTCTCTTTTAATATTTTCAAATAAAAAAATCGTACCAAAATACAACTAGTATTAGAAATCAACCAACAAAGAGTTTGTCTACAATCTGATTAATATTCAGATATATCGTAACTCTCTTACTCGTCAAAGTATAACGAAATCAAAGATCTATATATTAATTAAATTGGCTTGTGAAGGTTGATAGTGTGCATTTTATAAAAGACGAACGTGGGCGCGGTATACAACGGATCCCTGTTGGTCTCGTACAGGAAGATAAGTATCGTGCATAATACAGTACTACAGCATACCTGTTGAAGGAACCTTTGTATCATATTTTGTGAAGAATTGAGTGGAAAGTTGAACCTAGATCCAACTTGCCCAAAAGTTACTTTTTGTATGTTAGTCCCTTATATCAAGCCGAGAATACTCTGACATTCGACGAACAAATTCAAACAAACAAACCCTCGAAGACCGGTACCGAAAACCATGACCTATAAACGATTTTCTTCTCAATTTTGCAAAAATATACTTGTCCGAGATTGCCCTGACGTCCGACAGCAGTTTTTGATAAATAGTCTTTACCCAGAGCCCGTTTGAAGTCAGAGAAATGTGGGACTCCTTTCAATTCACAAGAAACCATTTATCTCACGATATTATATTATATCTTAATAGGTATGTAAGAAAAATTCTTACTGGGTTTTTCTTCTTTTTTACAGATATTTAATTTTGGCTGTTGTTTTCCCAGACGCATTCACGGGAGAAATAATAATTATTTCTTATTACGGATATCGGTCATTGGCCTTCGGTCCATTTGAATTTTGTTCTCCTGGAAACCGTATCATGATTTATATTGAATCATTGAATATATAGATCCTTTACCTAGATTAATGGAAAAATCTTGTCGTTTTCGAAACACGGTGGTGCATTACAAAAAAGTCCTAGGTCGAAGTGGAGAAGCTAACACAGCTAAATGTGAGAAGTTTCAGCATCACGAACTCCACAAAAGAATAGGCAGTTCACCAGACATTCATTTCCCTCATAAGTGTTCCGTGATAAATAGGACGAAGATGCGAAGCAGCCAGGGTCGGCTTCCTGTATTCGAGTTAACTCGATTTTTATTGTACATAACCACACCATAGATACCAGGCTTAAAATTGTGTGCGCCAGACGAACGTTTGGTCTACAAAAGACTCATCAGTGACGCTCGAGCCAAAAAAGTTAAAAAGGTCAAATAAAGTGCGACGTTGGAGAGCACTGAGGACCCGAAATTAGGAAAGGTTTTGCCAAATACAGCCAATGTAATCTTACCTGGGGTAGAAAATCCGTACATCTTTATGACAACGGAGTCAATGAGAGATTAATAAATCTGGTTCCTGTACATTGTTGTCTTTAAAATATAGGAACACATATGTCAAGGTATATGTTATCATCCCTGATATCTACCAAAAATTTAAATGCAACTTTCACCCTATGGCATTTAATGTAGTTCAGAAAAATCTTTCTTGGGTGGAAAATATAAGATAACCGTTCTTTTCGGATCAAAGATTCACATACATATTATCGTAAAATTGTAGGAACCACGTTTCTACTTTTAGTTTACTAATGCATACTTTCATATTAAAATTGATAAATAATTTCAAAACTAATCCTACAGAACGACAGAAAAGGGTACTTTCCCGGTTTAAAATAGTTTACAGACTCGATCTTGGTTTATGAATTCATAGCGTGAACAGGTTTTAAAGCAGACAATTTTCCCTTTTTTCACAATTCTTTATTTCTTATAAAACCAAGTTAATGGTACAAAGAAAGATATTTTTACATGTAACACACAGATTCTGCGCATGACAAGTTTGTACAAAACGAGCATAAAAAGATGACCGATTGATGATCAACCTGGAGAACTTCTGTATTGATAATTCTGATTAATTTACACAAATTTTTCAATACCCGAATATTTTTTGAAAAAAATAAACTGCCCAATTTTAAAACATTTACTCGGCTTACATAGTAAGGTTTAAGAAAAGCTCTTCTACTTTCTGTTAGAACTGTACAGTTTAGAATATAGTGAAATCCATCTATCACTCGAGAATAACAAAGTACACAGTACCTTTCCTGTCTAACAATTCCAATCCATCTACCTGTTTCTATAGGTAACCAGTGATTTCCAGTTCTAAACCTACATAACGTTGTTTTATCTTTATAAGGTAATAAGTCTAAATATTCTTCAAATTCAAAGTTTCCTTTAAAAAGTTTATAACATAATGCTTTTGGAGAGTTTTCAATTTATGATTTCCAAGTCTGCTGAAATTGGTCAAATATTCTCTGTTTTATGCTCAACTTTAACTATTTGGGTTAAAACCGAAATTACTCTGATTTATCGAAATATTTGAAAATTCATATTTATTCAAGATATTTTTATACAAACCAACCATTCAAAAGTATATCCACTATCTTCGTTGAGTTTATGAATATATCTACACAGAATATTTGTCAATTTCCTATCAGAACTATTTACAATGTTAGACCAAAAGGTTACCATACGGTGTTCCACATATACTGACATAGGATAAGCGCCGAGCTCCATAAACAATAAAGCTTGGGGTTGATTTTTTTCAAATTTAACAAAAGTTTATAGAACTTTAAATGGACTCTTTCTATTGCATCAATATTGCTAAATCCCAAAATTTCACAGCCGTATAACAATATTGGTCTAACGATTTTATCAAAAAAGATCGTACTGACATTTAGATGTCAGGTTATGTAAACGCCCCTTTTAAGAACTTCACACATAGCTTTGATGGCTTTTCTAATGAGTTGATTTTTAGTACTTGTGAAACTACCCGTTTTGGAAAAAATAATGCCTAAGTAAGAATAAGAATAAGAATAAGAATAAGAACATTTATTGAATCCAATTAAAGGGCCCGTTTCCGAGAATATATATATATAAATAGTATTAATTATACAGTATTTTTTAAGATATATTACCTTAAAAATAAATGATTAAATAACTATACTCCATACCAGATGGTGTTTGAAAATAAATAAAATAGAATATTAACCCTCTCTAATACATAAAAATAAAAATAACTACTGAAACATCACTACTACATGTATATTTAGTTAGTTACTGGAATGCAAATTTTCTCTTATTTCAAAACAAGTACTTATAAATCTTGACACTGACATATTAGCATCTTCAGACTCACATGACATTAACCAAATAAATTGTTCATATTTTGAAATAAAAGGGAAGTTTTTACATTGAATGCGTGCTTCATTAAGAATAAAATTCCGTTCCTTTTCATATGCAGTGCATTCCATTAAAAAATGAAACTCGTCTTCAACCTGCATATTTTTACACCGCCCACAAAAACTTTTATCTTTATCGACTTTTTTATATCTTACTTTCTCAATAGCTAACTGATGAGCACTGATTCTAAATCGAGTTAAGCTTTTTCGATACTGAAATTTATTATTATTATTTAAGTATGATATATCCTTGAAAATTTCTAAATCATTACCATCAAGTGTAAAATGTAGATTGTTTGACAACCTTTCATTACCAAAAATAACAATTTTTGTTTTGGTTGGATTAACCTTCAGTTTCCATATTTCACAGTTTTCATAAATGTAATAAGCTGCTGTTGAAGATCTTGTCCAGTTTCAGAAAATAAAACAGTATCATCTGCATAAAGTAGTACATAAAGTTTCAAGTAAATGTTAATTTGTTCTTCTATTTCATTTTTCGCTGTGTTTAAACCTAATACATCATTTCTATGAAAAAATTCTTCCAAGTCATTCAGATGTTTTCTCCCTGTCTAACACCAATATTACATGGAAAGTACTCCGTAGTTTCACCATTAAATGAAATACGAGATTTAATACCACTATACATGTTAAAAATTGCATAATACATTTTACCATTTATATCATTTAATAGTAATTTTTGCCAAAGGCCATTTCGCCAAACGATATCAGAAGCTTGAGAAAAATCGATAAAAGCACAAAAAAGTTTCTTCTTTTTGTTTTTCATCGTCTTAATGAGAGAATATAAAATGAATAAATTTTCAATGGTGGAGTATCCTTTCCGGAAGCATCCTTGGTTTTCGCATATCAAGCTATATTCTTTCGAATGTTTATTTAGTCTGTTATTTCATACAGATGTGAAAAGTTTCCCAAAGCAGCTTAATATGTTGATAGGTCTGAAATTTTTTGGATCAAATGTATCCCCTTTATTTTTAAACACTGGAATTATATCGCCCCATAGCCATTCTTCGGGTACGATACCTGTATCAAAAATTATATTAAATAGTTTTACATAAATATCATACCAAATGAATTTTTAAGATATTCATTAACAATTTTATCATTAGCAGATCAATTATTATTCTTCACTCAGACCCTTTAAAGCATTTTCAACTTCATCACGAGTAATTACAGAGTTAATATATATATTTAAACTATCTACATCAACATGGCTTTCTGTAGGGTTTTCGTTCTCTACATTTTCTCCCTTATTTAAATCTTTGAAAAAATCAAACAAAACGGTGATTGGGATATCTGGAGTTTTTGATTTTTTGTTGCTATTTAAAATTCTCCAGTATTCCTTTGGATTTTTCGATTTTAAATTACTAATTTTGTTTCTAATTTTCTTGCGGTGTTTATGGATACTTATATCCATAGTTCTTTTGTATTGCTTTTCTGGAGATTTTGTCTCATTGGAAAGATCTGGTGAAAAGTTACGTTTCAGTTTTCGCTTAGATTTTTTGTAATTTTTCCTTGCAGTCTTGCAATCTTCGTCAAACCAAGGCTTATATGTAGTTACTTTAACATTAGTTTGTTTATTATGTTTCATATAAGTACCAAAAGTAGTTTTAGCAGCATCAACAAGTATATCACATGTTCTTTTAACTTAACTATTTACACAATTATGATTTACATCTTCTATATTTACAGATTCAAGCTCAGTTAGAATAATGTCAGTATGAATTTTATCTATATTTTCAATAAAGGTATCCACATTTTCGTTGTCCCATTTTTCATTTCTTCAGTTGGTGGGCAGTTCCCTTTTTTTAAACGATTTC